ATACTATCTCCACTAAATTGTTTACACCTGTCTTGAATATATGTTCAAGCAAATGGAACGAGAGGATAATATGGGAATTAATATAAATGGTGAAGATCTGAACCACCTAAGATTTGCCGATGACATTGTTTTAATATCTGATAGAGTTGATAAAGCTACAAAAATGCTGCACACGCTCTATAAAGTGTCAAAAACAATTGGTCTTAAAATTAAGACCTCAAAAACAAAACTTGTGACCAACCTTGTAGTCAGTGGTAAAATACTGATTGAGAGCCATAGCAGCGACCAAGTAATAGCTTACAAATATCTAGGGATGAGATTCGCCTAGGCCGAGATAATCAGACAACTGAAATACAAAGAAGGATAGGCCTCACATGGGCTGCCTTTGGTATATTGAATAACATTTTCAAGTCTAGTGTCCCAGTTTGTTTAAAAAGAAAGGTTTTTAACCAGTGCGTTTTACCGGTTCTTACATATGGTGCAGAAACACTGACTCTGACAAAAAGAACAATAGATAAAATAAGAGTTACTCAACGTGCTATGGAAAGATCAATATTAGGTATTACCATCAGAGATAAAGTACCAAACCTAGAAATAAAAAGAAGAACAGGAGTCACAGATGCAGTTGAAAAAATAGCCAGGGCTAATTGGACTTGGGCCGGATATGTTGCCAGATTAACTGATGACAGATGGACCAAAAAGATTCTGGAATGGCGACCAAGCAAGATGCATATCGAACCAGAGGACGACCACCGACTAGATGGATGATATCAAGCGCATCACCACAAACTGGATGCAAGAAGCTCAAGACAGAAATAGGTGGAAAATTTTACGGGAGGTCTACGTTCAGCAGTGGACAAATATAGGCTAATTGATGATGATAATGATGTATATCACATATGTTAAAGTTTTTCAATTTTAATGGCTAACGCTACATTCTTTCTTATACATCTTTGCTACATTCTTTCTTACAATCGTTCTTATTCGTTTTTTCGACTCTTTTCTGGTTAGTTATTTTATCCTATTGAAAAGTTTCACAATCATTTTGAAATTACGATTGACATATGATATGATATGACAATCGAGTTTAAATTTATTATTACGCATAATGTGGCCAAAATAAGACAATTTTCTGTTCTTTATGGTGTTTTAGACAAAAAAATTTGTGACTGAAAAATATTTGAGACTGGTGTAAAATACGAACCAAAGGCTTTTCCATGTGGTAAAAGATCGTAAAATCTTCGATATAGTGATTACTAACATGTGATAACTCTGGTGTGACACTCTACCTAAGTTCTACTTGAAGCCTATGAGGTATTTGGTTCTCTCTTCAATAAAATTGATCCCAGTCCAAGTTCATATCTGGTTATACTAAAGGTATTATTTCGCAACAAACGACCGAGACAAGAGACGGATAAACGTGACAGATAGACAAGACCGATTGTGATCTCTTCATGTTTGCTGTAAATGCTATTATATTAACCCTTATCCGGACAACACATTTAACTTACGACAATTTTTTTTATCAGTTTATGATAAAAGAATTGGCATCTCCGACCTTGCCCGGATAAGGGTTAAGGTCGTTCTGCAGCCCGAGACATAGACAAGCGACAAACGACTGTTGCCTATCTGTGTCAGCCTCCTTCAAGAGCAGTGGTGAAGTACATCGCTGAGCACGTGGCACCCATACCGGTATGATACTGTTGTGCTTCACTAGTCTATTAAGTTCTCCGAATTCCCACACTAGCTTAGATACTACCTTAGGGCTCCTGAGAGCCCCATAGTTCAAAAGGCTTCATATTGTTGTTCCTTTCACAGTGCAAGATTGCATAAAACTCTGCCTGGAGTCCGTTTACACCAATAGTAAGACTTGCTGCGCCCCATCCTTCTGCAATTTTGAACCCCTCTACAGTCAAAGCCTGTATTTTATACATAACGTAATCCGCGTAGCTCAAGGTACGATGTCTCGTTGCTGAGTCTAGCTATTAACCCTATAAGACTAGCCTTTAGCTCTGGAAACCTCTGGTAAGGTAGCCATGCAACTAGTCTTAGGTATCTATTATTCTCAGCCGAATTGCGTCTGTGACTTCTTCCGTATTCTCGAATGCTCTCTCTAAATCGAGAAATACAACCAGTATCTTCCCTTGGTTCTTCAGAGCGTAATTCACACTCTAGATGAGTTAAAAAATCAGTTTCCGTAGAATAATACACTGCAGGAATATTGCCCCTCTATCTAGATTTGACCTTCAATAAATACGCCATCCCTAATATGCCTATAGAGCAGTTAGTTTACAGTATAATACCAAGTTATAGATAGATAGAGCATGTATAAATGGTATCAGAATTACCGGTCTCACCGACTTTTCCAATACAGTTTTGCCAGGGTTAGGTATAAAAGCTATCTTTATGAGCCTCTATGCTCATTGTATGTTTGCAAGTCCAAAGTTGGACTGTAGTGGAATAAATATTTTTTGTACAGAAGATCATTTCCTTTCTGTAGAAATATTGGTTCACTTATCCTGACATTTACCTAGTGGTTTTGATGTTTCACCTAAATAAAACTGATCGCATTCACAAGCTATTTTATAAATACAATTCTTTATTCTTTCTTGTTCATTGTTAGGTTTAGATAAAATAGATTTCTATGTATTTGTTGTTTTGAATATTGAAATTTTGAATTTATTTCCTATCCTTTTAAGTTTTTTTGATAATTCTTTTATGAATTTTCATCAGAACGACTAATTTTGGCTCTATCGTATAATTATTTAATGATATCATTCGATTTATAATTTAGATATCTTTTGGTGTATGTTGATTTCCTATACACCTAAGTCTCATATCCAGTATCTTTATTTGAGATTAAAACATCCTGGAAAAGTAGTGGGTGTTATATTCATTTTCCATCATAAATGTTATTGTCTCTGCTTTATAGTTTATATTATTCAGGAGTATGTCCAACAACTCTGATCCATGAGACCATATTTAAAACACATCATCTACATATCTCGTAAAGCAAAAGCGGATGGTTCATCCACGAATTTCCTGTTGGACTTCAAACCCTTGTGACGATCTGTCAAATTGGATTTACTTACAGGATTTTAGGGCTAGATTACCGATTCTGTTGTTTGTCTCTTGTGGGGATCAAATTATACACTGCACCTTCCATTACAGATTTATTAACAATAAAAACACTATACACTGAGTTAAATGAATCACTTTGCTATTGTATACTACGGAACGTGTGTGGGAGAGAGAGTGAAAACTAATACTTTTTGTGCACAAAAAAAACTGCTGAGGGCGATGTCCTTTGTTAATTTACTTTATGAGACTGCAAGAGTGGGGAAGCGTAGTTAATTTTAGTGTTTAAATTAATCAATCTAGTAGCAAGTGCTGTTCTTAAATACATCATCTTTTATGTAGTACCACCTTCCAATAAGCTTGAGGTGCATTCACAGGCATCTTCTAAGTTAACAATGGTATTGCTCAACTCATTACTACATTTTATGAGGATTAGCTCGCGTTCTTAATACAAGTTGGTCAGCTCTTTTAAAATTTCATTTTTATATTTCTCAAGAATAGCATTGTAAGATCTTTAGAACTGGAGTGCTGGTGAGAAAGATCTTCCATGTTATTGTTCAAAGTAGCAGAAGCTTTGGTGAGGTTTTCAATTTTTTCTTTGCTTTTCTAAACAAAACTCTCCATCTCTTGTGTAACTATTGGTTCAAAGTCGAGCATGGTGAGGTTTATTATCAGCTTTAATACATTTCGTGCAAGCTGTTACACTGCACACTGAATATTAGAAGATAAGATTTTCACCAGAATGGAAAACACATACTAGAAGCTTATGAACTGCTATCTTAATACCAGATTAAACATATCATCAAGAGCAACAACCTTGTGTGACTCAAAACATCTCATAAAATGATGAGCCTTGTCACAATTATTATGTATTATTGAACACAGGGAACATTTTTTCTCTTATTTCCGAATTTTATTTACTTTACTTTGAACAGTTAGTTCTACCGTAATCTCTTTGTGTTTTATAATGTTTTTATTTCCCTTTTAAAACTATTAATTTCTAAGCTAACAACGTGTAACTTGTATTTTGTTTACTTCAGCATGAAAGACTTCCCTAAAGAATATATTTATTGATTTTTTTAGTGTATATCATGTAAAAAAACTACAGATTTATCAAAAATAATATATTAAAAATAGTTTTAAGCTAATAATTTTGTACACGAACGTCTAATAACTTCAACCTTGCTATCAGTTCCTCATTTAGTACATTTTTCTTAACAAAGCAACAAATAATATCTTTTGATTGAATCTTTATACATACGTATCATTTTAACAAGCATTTTATGTACAACAGTGTATTAGACACACCGAAAATTGTTCGAAGATAACTCTAATATCTTTTAATTTTGTAAAAATCCGTACCATAGTATCATTACGTCATTAATCTTAATCATATCTCAAAATTAAATGTTAAGGTTTTAGAATCTAAAAAGCTAGGACTTTTTTTAACAACCTAATGGTATGTGATATAAAATCGATTTTATAATGATTTTAAATTAACACAGGAGCATTTTTATAGTTTTATTAAAAATTAAACGATGAAATGGCCCTATTCGCTCCGTGCGTGACTAACACGACACCTACCGCCTTTTTCTGACAATTTTGGAGTCCCAATTTTCACGTTAAACTTATGACATATGTTTGACATTGTTAAATACATGCGAAATTGACAATTATTAATAAATTAGTTTTTTAACTTTATTTTTTCAGTTTATGTACAAAATAAATGTAGTATTAAAAACTGGGTTTCTCAAAATTCATCATAATATATCTTTTCAACTCCAAACGTAAGAGAAAGGGAAAAATCTAGTACTGACCAATCAAGTTTTTCACGCAAAAGAGCATATAATTAAAAACAATAATAGTAAAAGTTATGATATAAAAGCTAAAGTCATCTGCAGTTAGCTTGAAGCCTTATGAAATATCATTCAAGGTAAATTATTTAAATTTTTCCTATTTCAATTGCGTAAAAATGAAATTATGTGATATTTACTTTTTCATATTAATAGCAGGAATTTATCTTTTTCTTTTCTCTAATTTATATGTAATCTTTGGGAACCTATAAAAACTACACTCACTGTTTTTGCTATTATTAGCACAATTAAATACGCAACATGTATTTGCACACATTTTTGATAAAATTTATGCGTAAAAATATTTTGTCCAATATTCCAATTTTGTCATATTTCGCCGCTATGCACGCTGGCGTCGTTTCAATGTACCCCTACCATGGTCACGCACGGAGCGAATAATGTGAGAGAATGAAGCAAGTATATCCACATATAATATTAAAAATATTCATAAAGGTAAGAACACAATTATTTTTTGTGTTCTTGCATTAATTACTGTGTATTATATTAATTCTTCGAACTATTTTCGGTGGCGAACAATTTTCAACAATGTAACCTAATTTTACAAAAGCTACACCAATCAACTACGGATTAAGTTTTAACGGAGGTTTGTGGATACGCCCTGAACCACTTCTTCTTGATGTAAAACACAGCGATGAAGGCTACTACCAGAAACGCCAAGCCTGCAATGATTCCAGTGGCTACTGCCCGTAGGCTTTTAAATCCCGGAAATGTACCCTTTACCTTACCGCTCACTGATTGTTGGTCGTCGATGGATAGGGCGACTACCTGGATGTCGTATTCGGTACCCTCTGCGAGGCTCGTTACTAAAATTAAAATAAATATAAAACTATAAAAAATTACAAAGTTTTTCACGTTATGCATTACCCATTGCCGTATGTAAACTGACAACACAATACACAGATACACAGACAATACAGATATACTCAAAACAGGTAACCTACCAAACCTCTTTAAACAAACAAAAATCATAGCCATCCTGAAACCTGGAAAACCAACAGACAACCCAGCGAGTTACCGCCCCATCGCTTTACCCAGTGCAGCTTACAAGCTCCTCGAAAGACTGGTCCTGAACAGAATCGGCCCAAAGCTACTTCAAAAAATACCAATTGAACAAGCAGGATTCAGGCCTCAACGAAGCACCACTGACCAAGTGCTCTCTATAACTACCTACATAGAGGCAGGTTACCAAAGAAAACTGAAGACGTCTGTGGCATTCATCGATTTATCGGCTGCCTATGACACGGTTTCGAAAGATGGTCTCATCTATAAGTTCCTTAAAATAATCCCCTGCAAAGCAACTGCCCGACTCATAAATACTATGCTGAGCAGTAGAAACATCCGTGTAACCATGGGAACTACAGTGAGCAAACAGAGAACGCTTAATAATGGCCTCTCCCAGGGCTCCGTATTTGCACCGCTGCTATTTAGTATGTATATAGCTGATATGCCCCCTACCAGATCTAAAAAATTTGGATATGCAGACGACAACTCAAAGCTCCTTAATACAAAACTCCGAGGCAATCCTAACGAAAGATCTGGAACGCCTGGTTAAGTACTTTAAACAATGGAGACTTAAACCTAACCCCAAAAAAACCGAGGCTAGCTGTTTTCACCTGAACAACAAAATGGCCCACACAAAACCCAAAGTATACATTGATAACCAACTGCTCACGCACAACTATAATCCCAAGTACCTCGGCGTCACCCTGGACAGAACACTCTCATTTAAGAAACATCTTGAGAACACCGCAGCAAAGCTGAGAACCCGTAACAACATCATACAGAAGCTTTGCGGGACTACATGGGACTCATCAGCAGGTACACTTCGGTGTTCAGCCCTTGGACTCGTATACTCCGCAGCTGAATACTGCTCTCCTGTTTGGCTAAATAGCGTTCACACAAAAATTATAGATACCCAGCTCAATGTCGCCATGCGTCTCATATCTGGAACGATCAAGTCTACACCTGTGGAGTGGCTTCCAGTACTGAGCCATATACCTCCACCTAATCTTCGTCGTCAGCATGCTCTGCTTAGAGAATTCCAAAAGCTGCTTAACAACCCGCAATTACCTATACACACATATGTCGCCGACGCTAATTCACATCGATTGCGCTCCAGAAAACCTCCGACTAGAGATGCAATAAACTTGAGTTCCAACAATTTCCAAATGAACTCCCAGTGGAAGAACATGCAGAGCGACAAACCGAACCTAATAATGAGAAACACACCATGCATCACAGAAACTCCACCAGGTTTTGACCTCCCCCGAAAATCATGGTCAACTCTTAACAGGATAAGAACGGGTCATGGAGTCTGCGCAGATTCCCTTTATAAATGGACGATGAGAACTTCTGCTGAGTACGACTGCGGCGCCGAGAAACAGACCATCCAGCATATGATTGCCGAATGCCCTCGGAGGAAGTATTATGGAGATCCTCTAGACTTCTTCCGCCTCTGCAACACCAGCGTTGATTGAATATATTAATACATTAGATGTTAGACTGTAACATATATGTGATAATGTTGTGTATCAAATTGCCATACGCTAAATAAAAATAAAATAACTGACAACAGACATACAGAGCAACAGAAAATATCACCCCAAAACAGCTGTTAACTCTGCCTGTGGTGACAAATGGGTGAATCGAGTAGCTCAGGACTCACCATTGCTGGTCCTAAGCCCGGATAAAGGAGGAAGGTTGGGCAGTAGGCTGATAACCCACTCTCGAAAAAAACACACTGTTATGAAATCGGTACATTTCAGTGAAAGCAAGTTAGGAATTTGCTCCCACTTTTTCAACCTAACAATGATAAACATTAACTGCCTAACAAAAGAACAAGAACAACATAAAACGGAAAGCTTCTACCAACAGCTGGAGATAGTATATGACAATGCGCCCAAAAATGACATCAAGATTATAACGGGTTATATGAATGCTAAAATAGACAAGGAGCTGCAGTTCTATGGCACAACTGAAAAACACCTACTGCACAATGAAACAAGCAAGAATGGGGAGTTTTTGATAAATTTTACCTCCAATAAAAATATGGTCATAAGTTCCACATGCTTCGCACATAAAGACATACACAAAATGACATCCGGCGTCCACCCTGGGATACAAGAAAAAGGCGAGAAAAAGACGAGTGCAGAAAAGCAATAGAGATGTAGAAATTAAAAAAGAGCCTATGAAAATAGTCAAATAGAAAAATGGCCAACGAGAATGAATTATAATTGCCCTGTGCCCATAACGGGCCTAGCACGTTTTTTTAATACAACTGTATCGAAATATTGATTTACATTCATTTAAATCACAATTCACTCATATTATTTATGCATAGAATAAGAAAAATTCACGTGGCACCCAGTGTGATACATATTTTTCACACAAGCAGTGAATGTGTTAAGATAAAGGTTATTTCATGAAATCAGATGAACTATCTTCCAATAAAATAGTCCCATTATATTTTTTAATCTAGTATTTTTGCATAAAAATAAATATAAACATAAACACTAAACAACTTACTCAAAAATGATGTGTTGGTAGTATCACCAGATCCAAAGAAGTATTCATCATTGTCTTTAGTCCATCTCACTATATACCATTTAAGAAATTCAAGACCATATTCAGGTTTTAACCATTTGACCAATAGACCGTCATCAGTCGGATGAACTGTCACATTCCGGGGGAATCCCACTGGGGGATACTTGGATTTTAGACTCGTTTCTGGCTCAATCTCTAAGTCTTTCGTCCATACTAATATGGATTTGCTGAAAAAACCATCACCGTTGTCATCTTTGCAGAGGACCATCATTTCGTAAGCTGTTCCTGTAATACAAAACACAAAGATTATTAGACTGATAATGGATCAATCACGAACATAGGTTTCTAGCTAATCAATTAGATAACGAGTAATTAACTATTATATTGGTATTATCGGTTATATTGGAAACAAAATATTAAGACATCTAATAAACTTGAATAATCTTAATAAACTCAAAGCAAATTGGTTTACATGTCTTTGAATTGAAATTAGGTCAATTAGGTCAAAACAATTAATAAACAAATAAAAGGGTTTTTACTGCAACAAATACTTATTACAACCGGCTTTATCAGTCGCATATTTAATTAAAGTCGCAACTACAATCTATGTCAGTTGTAACTACGTTGAAGTTTGTAATAAAGTTGAAAAGTATTATACGTTTTTCTTTTGGGGGAAATGTCAATCTAACCTCCAGTTGGGATGGTAGTGTAGTGAAAACCCCACGCCACAGTAGATGTTGTAGATATGTCGAGAAATGTATACTACAATGATAAGATATATTATTTTCACACCAAGTACTCACTGCAGAAAAATATTGATGTAACAAAAGTAACCTCTACAGTACCTCTACATTACTAATGAGTGAGTGTGTAAGTACAAAGAGATTATGACATCTTACCTGGATTTAAGTTGGTGATAGTTGCTTCCATACTCTTCGTGCTAGGTACTGCATAAGTTTTCCACTCGGTACTTTCTCTGGTTTTGTACCAAACGCTGAAGTCTACATTAGTTCTATGCCTACTAATAAGCCACGTTATATGTACTGAATTAGCAGATGAGGTAGCGGAAACGTTATAAGGAGCACTAGAAGGGACATTCTCCACTAGCAGTTCCGTTTCCACCGATATCGTAGCCGCCTTGTTGGTAGCAGAGCATTGGTATATTCCTCTGTCTTGTGTTTGGATCTCCACTATGGTTAAATTTCCTTCTTTGATAAAGTAGCGGCCTACCGGCATAGTCGTACCATCTTTCTGCAAAGCAAGCATTGGATAAAGTGTCAACATTTAAAAAATAGCATTGCATATACATATTTTATAACTGTGATAATAAATATAAATGTAACGTTCAGAGTTAATCAGCTTTTTAAAGGGTTAGGTTAGAAACTGACCTAGGTACAGAAGCTGAAATTTATAGAGTGGGACAAAAGTATAATTGAAATTCGGAACATATCCGACAACAGTCTTTCAGACAAAAGTTGCCGCTATACAAAGCTGCAAAAGTAAATCTAATAGAACTGCAGGTAAAGAACAGTACAATTGTGTTTTACTCTAACTATCAAGCAGCTATGAATGTACTTAGTTTCTTACAGTTTGATTCAATGTTTGTGTGGGACTATTTTTATGTCTATAATCTGGATGGAAGTTGAAACATTATTCTATGAAGTTATTGATCGCCCTAGACTTCTTCCCTCAGAGATTCCTTGGACTACTTTCCATTTCGTGTCCGTCCCAGCTTGCGTAAAGGAGGAGTTCTGAATTAAATAGGGGCTCTTCTGTATTCTAAAGAAGAAGTCAGTAGTACAGCGGCTATGTCATTGGTGATTTAAGGCTGTAGGAAAATAGTTTCTCGCAGGTTTAATATAATAATTAATAAGGAAACTTTTAAATTGGTTAAATTATAAATCTTTTGCCATGTCAATTTCAAAATTCTAGATAATGATCGTATTTGAGGTTATGTTTTGGTGGAGAATAGACAGCAGTAACGACAAGCTCAAGAGATTTTGTTTAACACTTACTGAAGTAGCTTGAAGCATTTCTGTTTTGAAGCTTATTGTGTGTTTCAGAAATGAAGCAAATATTAATTTTTTTAATGTCTAGGACAGTCTGCAATTCTGATTGATGTTGTAGTAGTCACTTTTCATTCCATTTCATTATGCTCAGACTATTTGGGATTAGAGATCTTAGGCATAGGTCCTTTTGTGCTATATTCTAATCTAGTAATGCACTCATGCATTTTTTTTCGATCTCTTCAGTATTTATTGAAAAGTACTCTCAATGTTAAAACTATGTTTTGGGTTAGTACTTTTAATTTCTGGATTACCAATACCTTGGCTGTAGGTTTTGTTGTCTTCGTTGGTTTTGGATGTTGGTTTCTGTTGTTGCATCATTTGAGGCTGTTTAGCTCTAGTGGTTTTCTTATTTCGTTTTTTTTTTACTTCTGTATTGCTTTTGGTACCATGCATCCTCTGTAATTAGCTAGATGACTTTTCCCACATAGGACACATTTTGGCTAGGCATTTTTAGGTGTATCACAACCAGTACATCTAACACATCTTGGTACTTTGCGCAGCATTCTAGCGTGTGGCCAAAATCTTGGCACTTCTTACATTGGTGTACGAGTCTGAATTTTCTTAAGGACAGAATCTGAATTCTAACTCCTAATATTTCATAAATTTAGAATATTCTATCTGTCTTTTTATCATGTCTAAATGATAACATAAACATATGTAGGGGTTGATTGGGGTTAATATGCTTAGGGTTTATAGAATGATGTAATCTATTAACCATTACCTAAGTGATCCTTAATAATATTCCTTATCATTTATTGCTACACAAAGCAGTATCTAGTTCCTAGTCTGCTGACTAGACACCAGCTTAAAAAGCATTTTTTAAATCACAAAAGTCACATGAGCTAGACAGCTAACTCTTTTTGATGGTTCTGTCTAGAGCACAAGAAAACCACGTGGCAAGTGTTATGTAACTGAAGCTCTTGCAAGATTGCGGTATTTAGAACTTGGAGAGAAGATGATGAGAATAACCAAAATTTTAACATGAGCTACACAAGGGCTGTACATGAAGAGACCGCACTCAACATTGTGAAACGTCATCAAGAAAGATGGGCTAAATAAGGAGCTTTATTCCTAAAGAAAAACTCAGTAGATCTGTAAAAATTCCAGTCCGTTATTCCGTTGCTTATATAGAAATTAACGACACAGTTTACCATTTGAAAACTCATCAGTAGTATTTTCTCGATCTTTATACTACATTTTTAAATCACGCTTGAAAGAAAGAAAGAACCAAATGCTCTTGGCTGAAAAATGCGAGAGATTGGGTATGAATAGGTAATCCTATATCCATAACAATTACCAAACTAATTAATAATATAATAACTATCTTTACAGCGCCAGCGTGAAGGTATGTTAATGTTTGTACAAAATTGTCTTCAATCATACATTGATCACTGCCAGTAAAACTTTACTGAAATGAACTGACATGGGAACAGTTCTATAATTGCAATATTTCTGCTACTTTTAATGTAGATATCAAAATAAATAAAAAAGATATTAAACAACGTTTTAAATGGAGAAAAAGACGATTTTTGTAAAGGATAACTTACCTTATACCACACAATAAGTGGCTTATGTCCATCTTCCCCATCAGTAGCATCACAAGTCATCTCTACACTCTCTCCCAGCTTCCGTAAATACAAGTTATGAGGAGTCTTGACAAAAATTGGCGGCTTCTGGACTATAACGTGCATATTTGTGGACGCTCCGGCAGAACCTAAGTCATTATAAGGGGTGCAAGTGTAGATTCCATTATGGGATTCGTCAACTTTGTTGATATACAAACTTCCATTTCTCCTGTAAAACACACCTTGGATATTGTAGGGGTCGAACAGAAACCCATCTTTGTCCCACCTGAGGTTGGTGAGGGGTGGATTTGCTCTATAGTGGCAGTCGAGCAGGGCGGGGCGTCCAAATGGTAGGTGAATTTCTGGAGGGGCGTATACTACTTTGGCTTTATCTAAATAAGTAAAAATGTTTAGTATAATAGCAAGTTAACACTTTTTATTTGATTATCATAATTTATAATAACTATTGAAGATGAAAGGAAAAGGAGAAAAATTAAAGACATACTAGTAGTGTTTGTTTATACTGTTCTAATTGCACTGAGTAAATCGCTTTGTCTTTAAATGTCATAAGTTGCTATTGTCGTACGGCCGTAGCATCCTTCGAGGTATTCGGAGTTTCTGGATGGTCTACGACCGCCGCTCTGGGGGAGAATCGTAAGTTCCTCGATTCCATCCTCGTGTTCGTGGAGTTTATGTGATCTAGGCTTCCGCTTAGCGAGAAGTTTACCTGGGCCTCTGTGATCGACAAGGGGATACCGGCAACCAGAATACTCTAACGTGTTGACTCTTCGACGGCCCTTTACTCCGTATCGCTACCTTTCGAGAAACAATATTTGCGATCCTGTAAGGACAGCTACTATTTCCGTAAGGTTTCTGGCGATGAGGTGTTACCGCAACTCCGCCACCGAGTGAAAAGCAATTTCAAACCCACTTACAGCTTTTATTTGCTCTTACTTAAAGTAACAATCTGCGTCGTGACTTTGGCGACACTATAAGTACTTGTGTCTCAAAAGAGTTGATTGGAATAAATAAAATCGATCAATCATTTGCATTGAAAACTATCGCTAAGAGAATTAAAAGTGGTTGTAGGCATTTGTTAGATGCCTCTGCTAGATTAGTCTACGCTCGACCAATCACCCGCTAGATATAAATCATACGAATGGGGTGCGGCTTCACAGTTAAGATTTAAATAGGTTATGAGTCTCGCGTTTTGCCAGGTGCTGAGATTTATCCCAGTCCTATCAGATTCCCATTTTGAGTTCGATCTAAGCAGTTGAACTATAGAGTTATGGCCACTTCACACCTTAAGACCAGTCAAATGGCAAATAAATATTTGCCGGCAAATTATAGAAGCCATGAAGAACTGAGAATTAGATCTGAAACCTTTGTATAATCTTGTAATTGGTTTTTAGAGATCTGAGTTGCAATATGCCGGTAAAAAGTGTATAGTTGCAGTTTATAAATCTTGTGGTAAAAGCAATACAAACTGTAAGTTATAATTTTTTTTGTTTATTTTTTGTTTTTGATGAAACAAATTAATGGAAGCTGAAATTTTTGATAGAGATATGATCAAGCTAATTATTTTAACAAATAATAAAAAATTTCGTGCATCTGGGTGGGTTATTCACAGAAAAGACAAGGTGGCCTCATTTTCCCTTTTTTATTTGGTACAACTTTTGTCCATTTTTTTTAGTTAGTAGGGATCATTTTCTTTATTCTTTCTGACTTCAGTATCTCCCGTTCCTAATTAGCGATCTGTAGACTCACGTCCCAAAGCTCGACGTTCTGTCCATCAAAACACTTCAGTGCCGGTTTGCATAATGAACGTACTTAAACCTGGAGTTCTTCATTTATCTTTTAGTTAAATACAAAATTTCCTTTTGGGTTAATTATTATATTACCCACCGTAATTCCCAATTCCTGAGCTTCCTTTCTTCTTCTAGAATAAACAGTGAGGAGTAAATAGTCGAGCAAAAATTAAGGTGGTTTTTAACCCTACAATGCGCAATCTAGCTGATCTGATACAACTGTATTCAAACCCACTTAATTTATTTGTGTGTTCAAATATTGCTCAGCTTAGGTTTCAGTCTGTTAGTAATTATTCTCATAAAGTGCTTATGTAAATGAGATAACAAGCTGATAGGTCTGTAGTTTCCAATTTCTGTTTGATCTCATTTTTTGTGCAATATTATCATAATGGCGCTATTTTTGTTATTATTATTGTGACAGTTTTGCAGGTCATAAATAAGACATTTTCAAGCTCTCTGACGATGTTAACTTAATTTTGTTTTGAGTTAAGCCACTATTGCATACAGCCTACGATACTTGGATAGAATTTTTCGCTGTGGGACGCATGGTCAGCTTGCAGCGAATAAAAAGCAATATATACGTAAAATCCATGTAGATTCAAAGATGCATATTGCTTTATCATTATAAATAAAAAAGTTTATAGTTAATATTTTGGTTAAAAAATAGTGAATTAATTTGTTTATAACAGTTTTTTTGGCAGTTTGGTTATTGTAGGTTAAAAAAACAATTCAAAACGAACATTTTAAGCTTTAGTTAATGTTTCTATGGTAATTTTTTTCTGAGGTATTGAAAATTGATTTAGGCGTACGATTTACGCGTGGCCACATTCACTCTAAGCTGACTGTCCGCCTCACAGCGCGTTATTAAATGTTCCAAATCTTGGTCAAAAATGAATACAGAAAGATTTGCCAAATCTTAAACTATTCGTTTTGAGTTATTTTATAACTTCCATTAGCATTATAGCTTAATTTTGTTTAAACCTCTTAAAAATTATTTTAACTCCGGTTTTAATATTCGGATCAAAGTTTACCAAACGCCATTTTGTTATTTTTTCAAAAGAAAGAATTTTCATTTTAGTAAAATTAGATGTCTCCAATAGTTTAGGGGATACCGACAACCATTTAAACAATTAAATTGTTAATAACAAATTCTCTGACGGGTTTTTAGTCTGGTATTTATCTGTATACAATAGATTCTGAGCACCAGAAAAAAACGTCAAGGTACCGAGTGGACATAAAAGTGCATACTCAACCCGCTCCTCCCTGGCTGCTAGACTATCAACTATATTGTTAAAGAGAATTAAAACCTTTTTGCAATATAAGGATGTGTGGTATTAACTGTATGCTGAATTCGATCCATTTTTTCAATAAATATTTTATTATTTTCGGAAGGAAATGATCTTTCGTGCCAAACCGGGCTCTGAGATTTTTATAATTCTTAAGCAAGTGGATAGCAATTTTTGTTGTGTAGTCAGTAGTCTTTTAAACACTTTTCTTTACAGTTAGATATTTCAAATATTTCCATAAAAATATTTGATTTATCGATTTCTAACATTGATAAATAGATTTAACAGCGGATAAATAAAACATTGATTCCATATTCCATATATTTTACTTTCAAACATATTTTAAAATGACACAGGCAATATAAATTTTAAAATATCCCCAACCCAATGAATAAAACATCAATTCTGTAAATATTTAAATATTTCTTGGTTTTACATTTTGTTTAAATACATAGTTATCAACTTTGTTTTAAATTTATATTTTTTACATTATTTTTATCATGTCAAAATCAGTTTTCTCTATCACAACTAACATAAAGCAAGTTTATGATGTGATGACCTTGCTTAAATACCCATCTTAAATCCATTTTGTCAGACTGGCGCCAAATTTGACAGTAAAGACAACGAAAAAGAAACGGCAGAACATACATTATGCAGCTGCGTAGCAATGTTCTGCAAACGACTAGAGAATTCCAGGAGAATACAGTCTACTGCCCTCTGACATAGGAAACAAGTCACCTTGAAAGCTAATCAACTTCATCAGAAGTACTGGCATCCTAAAGTTCAACTAGGTTAAGGTATGCACAACATATCTCCATGGGTCGAAGTGCAGCGAGGCTGCATAGCCGTAACGATCTGATGTAATCTAATCTAATCCATTTCATTTGGTAAATACACACTGTATAGAGAAGGATAAAAGAAATTTAGGGACTTTCTGCAATGAGATGAAAATGGAAACTATGATGAAGATTATAATAATGAGAATGTTAAAAATAATGACTGTTAAAGTAATAAAAATGGTAGTAATTTTAATAATCGATCATCAAGTATAGTCTTAATTGTTACTTACACTGTACATTAAGGTACGCCCTAGCAGTCTGCCTCTCTCCTTCGGCGTTGGACGCCTCGCATTCGTATTCGCCGGTGTCTCCTGAATCTGTTGGACGGATCATTAGAGAGTTGTCTTTGGTCACCCAAGACCTATTGATTAAATCATGGTACTCCGTCAGTGAGATTCCATCTTTAAACCATTTGACTCGTATCTCGAAGTCTTTGGTCAGGCAAGTAAACTCGACTTCTTCGCCTTCCAAAACAGTCTTGTTGAGAGGAGGAATTGCCAGAAGATTTCCACCTAAAATTTATGATTTTTTATTATATTATTATTATAGTTCAAGAAGAAGGACTGTTGTTTAAATATAATTCATAGGTATATAGTAAAATACATACAGTTGTAGCTCTATATGTATTTTATGTCTGTTTTAAGATCTGAAATTGTTACTTTATCACACATGTCTTTATTACAACTTTTGCGTAGTCACTGGGAACTCTTTCTTTTTTTATTACCCGCTATAGAACCTCTCACCGTATTCTATCAAGATACTTAAGACTAAGATACAAATTACCAATGAGATACTAAAAACGTTCTTACAAAAAAAAATACCAGAAGTAAAGGCTAGACTTACCAAAGGTACAGGTACACGAAAACACCTTTTGAATATTAGTATAACACACCGCTGGATTAGTAAAAGTGTTTGGCACGTTTTCAAATGAATTCCACCCTGAACGAGGAATCAATCAAGGATGTATACTGTCTGTACTATTTAATAATTACGGAGAATATATTATGAGGAGAGCCCTTGAAGGATAAAATAATAATAGAAACATCATGTGCACAGAATGGATGAAAATAAATTAAACAAATCTAAATTAAAAACAAAAGAAAAGTTTAGATTTACGAACCTATTATAGATATAGTCAAAAAATTGCAAACAGTATGGAGATGAAAACATAGTACGCTACATTAAAGCAAACCGAATAAGGTGGGCGGGCCACGTGCTAAGATCGAGTAACAAAGGCTCCTGAACGACATATTCTGGGAAAGACCCGATGGCGGAAGGTCAGTTGGTCGCGCCCAAAACAGAGGAGTCAAATGATGATGATGATGAGTATGGCAGGGCCCATATAACAACAATGGTTGAGGAAGATGATTACACACGGAGAGCAACATAATCCAGCCAGAGGGCCTCTGGCCCGAGGGATGGAAATTGTAATCAATTGGTAACACCAGTGGAACATACAAGATTTTATTTTTTACTTCACATAATATAAAAACTAAAATTAAAACGTTTTTACTTTTTATTTACTGCATCTACAAAATATATACGCATATTTTTTATGGACTATGGTTACTACCGGATGGTTACGTCCATCGAGCCATATTCATCCCTCAGGCCAGAGGCTCTCTGGCTGGATTATATTGCTCTCCGGATCGAGAAAACACCAAATCCAAGTCGTCTCAGGAATAGTAGACCTCTCAAATTGTCTACTCCACTGTACGCTCTGCTTAGGGGCTTCGTGTATAGTATACGAAGCACCCCTAAGCACTTATGCATCCAATGAAGGTTAGGATGTTATTGAATTCTACCAAGTCTTGATAAAGACTTCCTTACATGAAAATAAAATAGAAGTAAAACAATTTTTGATGTAGAAAAGACTAGCTACAGAGTCTTAAAATGTGTAGAATATGGCAGAGCCCCGACAGGATATCCCCTACAGCGTACGATACTCGCGGTAAGGCCGTGATCTGTGAACTGATCCTGACTTGAAAATTGTGCAAATATTTATACACAATTTTCAATTCAAGGTGGGCGGGGCGATGCACATCAAGTGCGCGTTATCCGTCAATAGACTAGGGCACTTAATGATACCAAAAATACAGAGGATGATTTAATCAGGCAGAGGATCGAGCAGACCAATGTTTTGTGGCTCCCCTACCTATACAACAATTTGGTATCACTATATGGGAGGTAAGGGCTTGTCAAAGTATGGCCACTTCTCCACTTCCAAGGTGCAGGCACTTCTTCTGCAGGTACCATCTTCCATCACAGCACTTTTGACTTCAACGACTTCGTCCTCCTCTAGAAAATCAGTAACCCATAATCATTTGCCAGCCGGTTTCTTAGTAGGGGGTATGCCTGTGCCTACGTGGTGTAAGTACCACATGCAGAGAGTGCCTCTGCGGGCCTCAATAGTTTCTGAGACTGGTGACTTCTCGATCGCTGAAACCTCCGACACTGGACAGTGTCAGGAACTGCAAAATAGGTCGACGATACCATTAGCTGCTGCTGTGGGGCTTTTAGCTGAACTTGGTGGGAGCCTGTGTCGTAGGCTCGTCTGTTTTGTTGTGCGCCATATCACCATGTGGGAGGTAAGTGCTTACCTCTTAAAAGTATGGTCATATTTTCAAAGTATGGCCACTTATACACTCCCACGGTGCCTTATAGAGGGACTTCGACCAGTCTATTCGAAGTACCCTCTGCATATCTTCCATCTTTGATGGACAATCGACATTTCTCACATGGTAAATAAATGAAACACGGAAACACAAGACAAGGTCCAGCCACAGAGTCTAAATGTTCGGAGAACCGGAGCAGCGGAGCAGCGCCTCGACATCGGACTCCCAGGGTGCCGAGACCCTATTTGGAAGCCGATACTAGACTGACTCGAGAGCAGAAATTGTCGCATATAAATAATTTTATGGCATTTTCAGATCTCTCGGCCAATAGAAAAATCGAAAGATGCCACAATGAAGGCACCAGGATGAAATTGGTAATAACCCGTCGGCCTTATCTCGGGCCTAACTAGTAAAACAACATTTTTTTGCAAAATTACTCTTTATTCTAAAAATAACTTCATTTAGAGGGGATACAGCCATTTCAACGCTTTTCTAATTTTTTAATACCGCTTTTTTAAAACGATTTATTTTTGGCTTCAGGCTCTTGCTGAAGAGTATTTTTCTAAGATCGGAAAAAAAAGTAATACTTGCTAGGAGCCAGATCTAGTCTACAAGTGGGTGCGGAAGCAATTCAAAGCCCAATTTGTGCGTTTTTGCCATCGTTTTATCGACTTGTGACATGGTCCATTGTCTTGGTGAAACAACAATTTTTTCTTGAACAAATGGGGCATATTCCTTGCAATCTACGTCTATAACCGCTCCAATAAATCAATATAATAGTCGTTATTGATTGTTTCTTCACGTTTCAAATAGTCAATAAAAATATTTCCTTGCAGGTCCCAAAATCGCCAGGGCGACACCATTTCACCAAAACTGTTTACAACATTATTGGAATACATGTGTAAGCGTGCAAACCTAGACGAAAAGGGCATAAACATAAATGGAGAGCAGCTTAGTCACCTCAGGTTCGCGGACGATATAGTCCTGATAACAGACCGCATAGATCATGCCATCGAAATGTGCGAAAGACTCTACCATGCCTCTACACAAGTGGGTTTAAAGATCAATAACTCAAAAACACAAGTGATGACAAACCTTGTTCTGAGTGAGAACATCAACATAGCTGGAACAAGTATAGAACAAACATCAGCATAAAAATATCTGGGACACGAAATTCGCTTAAGTAGAGATAACCAGACCAATGAACTAATACGTAGAATAGGGTTGACATGGGCAGCTTATGGAAAGCTAAGAGATGTTTTCCAATCAGCTCTTCCCATCTGCTTGAAGAGAAAAGTCTTCGATCAATGTGTGCTGCCGGTTCTAACCTATGGTGAGGAGACGCTAACACTTACTAAGTCGTCCACAAACAAAATTCGAACAACACAGAGGGCAATGGAACGGTCCATGTTGGGATTAACCTTGAGAGACCGAATACCCAACACAGAATTGCGCCGTAGATCGGGAGTAACCGACGCAATCAAAAGAATATCAACCTTAAAATGGAACTGGGCAGGGCACGTCGCGAGAACGAAGGACGGCAGATGGACAAAACGCATTCTTGAGTGGAGACCCAGACAAGATGCCTTTAGGAATAGAGAACGACCACCAACAAGATGGACGGATGACCTGAAACGGACACATCAAAATTGGATGCAGGCGGCTCAGGACAGAAATTTGTGGGGTGAACTACGGGAGGCCTATGTTCAGCAGTGGACGAGTATGGGCTGAATGATGATGAACCTTTCCGGTGGTTTATTGGTTTTTGGTCGCTTTGTCCAGTTTCTGTTCGCTCATATGACTGCCGGTTTGATCATAGAATGAAGTGATGGATCCATGTTTCATCCATTATGACAAACCGATGCAAAAACTCCCAAAATCATCATTTTGTTGTTGTTTTTGCTCTGGTGTGAGGAAACGCGACACCCGTTTGAAAAACAGCTTTCTTATACACACATGTTTATGTATAATAGTCAAACTGCTACAATTTGATAACTTTAGAGTGTCAGCTTTCTCTTGCAACTTCACTTTACGATTTTTCATAATAATTATCAGTATTTTTCCGGTATTTTCGGAAATAACTGCATAATTTGGCCGTGCGGAGGGAACTTATTGGTGTCGGTAAGACCGCGTTTGAATTCAGCAAATCGTCGTTTAATGGTTGTAATCGATGATGCAGAGTCCCGGTAACACTTTTTGAGTCATTGCTCAATTTAGATGGTATTATTTTCCATTAAATAACAGTGATAAATCAAACACGAAATTGCTTTGAATCCATTGTTTATAAAAATCACAAAAGTAACGTCACTTCAAACACTGTATATCGGTTAATAATAATCCGAATACCATGAAATTTTGACAGTATCTTTTTGAAGGTTAGAATATCGAAATGTCAAATGGAAAATTTATTATAGTCGCCATCTCATGGTTAGACCCAAGACTTATTAAACGACGTATCACCACATCAGTCAACCTCTGAAAAAATCATCGACTTTACTCGAAAATCTTATACAGATTTTTAAATTGTATGGAAATTTTTGTTGGAAAAAAATTACATATTGACATAAAATCCAAATTTCCTAAATATTTTCAGATGTTCGTCAGTTATTTTCGACAGATAACTGGTTGCTAATCACTAAGGTATGTTAACAATACTACATATGCTATAGATTAGGGTACGCGCTCAGTACGGTAAAAGAGAGAGATATCCGAGCCGAGAGGGGCGGCGTAGAAAAGATAGCTATAAAGGTCTAACTCGCCGCATTAGATGTTTCACACCATAACATAATTATACAATTAAAACCAAAATTTTAAATTTACCACTGACTGTGAGGTGGAACCACGTCCCGTTGTTCCTCCACGCTGGCGTCCGGTTAGGAAATAGGGTTCTGCACTCGAACCATCCAGCATCTGATTCCCTGACAGACGTGAGATTGATAGAACCCATTCCGTACGTGCGGTGAGGGGTTTTGGTGACTAAGGCTATTCTTCCAACATACTCGTCTGCTTCGGTGACTTGGCCATCTTGCCAGGAGTATATCACTTTCCCCTTAAAATAAAGAACAGATATATTAATAAAAAATACAATAATAATAAAATAACATGAACTATATCATGGCTTTCGGTAGTGATAAGGAATATGTTACTGATCATGGACTTCGGAAGTCAAGATCCGACAAGGGAGGATACCCAGAATGCAAGGCCTCCCAAGTCGACATCATGCGAAATCCTTGCAACAATAAAACAATTTTGAAGAGTAAAACACCTAAATTGAGATGCTTACAAATCGCCACCTGGAACGTTAAAAGTATGTACGAAAGTAGCAAAACACCTAACATCGTAAAAGAAGTCAAGAGACTCAAAATCGATATAATGGGTATCAGTGAAACTCATTGGCCCAACTCGGGAGAATGTAATATCCTAGACCATGCAATGTACTACTCTGGTAACGATACCCCTAAACCATGGAGTTGGAATAATCGTTGCACCTCGTTTAAAATTGTCAATAAAATCCTACACTGCACTATCAGACCGAATGATTCTTTTACAGCTGTATGCGTCCCCATTTGATTTGAACATAATACAGATATACGCACCTACAGCTGACAAAGAGAAAACAATAACGGAAGACTTCTACGAACAACTAGAAATCTTAATTAATGCAACCAAAAAGAATGAAATAACACTTATAATGGGAGACTTCAACGCGAAAGTAGGACGAGGCAAAACAGGAAAGGTAGTAGGAAATTTCGAACTTGGTGAAAGAAACGAAAGAGGAGATCGTCTAGTTCAATTTTGCCAAGAACACAACATAGTACTTACTAACACTCTCTTTAAGCTCCCGCACCGTAGACTCTATACCTGGAAATCACCGGCAGACTCATCTGGTAAAATAATCAGAAATCAAGTAGATTATATCGCTGCACCAATCAGGTTTAGAAACTCCATCAAAGCCGTAAAAACTTACCCGGGTGCGGACGTAGCATCAGACCACAATCCGGTGGTATGTAAGTTTGAAGTAAAGTTAAAAAAGCCAAATGTAAAGAATAGGCCCGAAACGCTAGATATTAGGAAGCTTTCCAACAATAATATTAAACAACAGATGCAGGAGAATTTAAATACCGAAATATCAAAAATCCTTAAAAATAACAATGAACCGCTGGAAAAGTGAAGTGAAATTAAAGAAGAGATTAGGACTTCAAGCACTAAGTTTTTATAGGTTATTCCACGAATATACGACTGTTTTGGTTTACTGCGACAACGAATATTTTACTGTGCAAGTAGAAGTATGAAGGTCAATTGGTCTAATCATTATTCCAATAAAATGGGTCTACTAGTATGACATCTAAACTAAAATTATTTCAGTTACAATCTACAAATAAATACAATGCCGTCTATGAAGCCAAATGTGTTCTTTAGACATTTGGGTAAGCTTTCCGTGAAATGTAAACACCAAATAGGCGTGCCGGGTTTCTTTAATATAACAGATTTTATTGCTTTATGAGGTATTACAACTGTAATAAAAATAAATATACTATTTTTAATATAAATTAAAAGAAATTGGCAGAACGATGGTTCACAAACCAGAGAAAGGATCTAATATTTCACTTTGTTAGTTTTAAATATTTGTTTGCTTTGAGTTTATGTTCTCTTAAAAGTTCCGAAAGTAACGGGTATAACATACCGGCTCTTGATAGTTAAAGTACCGAGTCATTAGAGATATCACCTATTAAAAAGTAACGAAAATTTATATACAGTTTCATACATCGCCGACTGATTATGGCTGTGAATCTGATCGTTGATGATAGTTTTAGAAGATTAAGAGAATAAGTGAATAAGTAAGATTTTTTGTTTTTTTTTAATACTTATTGAATATTCGACTAAAAAATTTACACTATTTGATCACTTAAGTATTGTTACGTTTCGTTTAAATCACATAATTCAAAAACCAACTTGTTTACAATGAAATAATTGAAATGAAAAAATAAACTCCATGATAGTAATTATATATTTCAAAATCTGAATTACAACTGTTTTATAAACTATTAACTTTATATTTATATCATGACTTCATATTTAAATCTAAGGCTTATATCTGTCGTAAGTCTTTTAAAAATGGGGAGAATTTACTATTGTACAATTCAGTACATTGGACCATTTAAATCGACACCTTAAAGCGAATTTAAAACAGTCGTATATTCGTGAAATGGAGTATACCTGATACGAGAAAAAAGAAAGACTGGATGACTGCAGAAATCCTTGACATCCATACAACTAGACCCCAACAAAATAGTTAGAATCTGGGAAACTTATGTGGAACAACTATTTAATGATGACCGTCCTAGTGGATGTACACTGAGCAATGATGATACTGGCCCTTCTATCCTAAAAAAAGAAGTGGAGAATGCTATAAAGGGACTTAAAAATAACAAAAGACCAGGCAACGTTAACGTATACGGGGAAGTATTGAAAATGCTGTGCGAAACAAACAGTCAGTTTCTAGACTCACTCGTCAGACTCTTTAACAATATTTATAACAGCGGGGAGTTTCCTGAAGACTGGCTAGAGTCAACTTTTGTTGCCATACCAAACCAAAAGCAAAGTCTTGTGATTAACATCGGATGATAAGTCTAATTAACCACATTTCGAAGGCATACACCAAGATTATTTACAACAGAATAAGCAAAAAATGCGAGGATAACATTGGAGTTTCGCAGTTTGGGTTTCGGAATTCTCTTGGGACAAGAGAAGCACTTTTTAGTCTACAGGAACTCATCCAGCGCTGCAGAGATATGAACAAAGACGTGTACATATGCTTTATAGACTACGCAAAACATTCGATAACGTAGAGCACGAAAAGATAATTGAAGTTCTATATAAGATCGGAGTCGACTACAGAGACATTCGAACAATAGTGAGTCTCTATTGAGGTCAAACAGCTAAAGTGAAAGTAGGATCTACATTGACCAATAAAATTGAGATCAAGAAAGGGGTACGACAGGGCTGTATCTTGTCTCCTATTCTCTTTAATATATACTCAGAAGAAGTATTTAAGACAGCGCTGGAGGAAAGCACAGAAGGCATAAAGATAAATGGAGAAATAATTAATAACATAAGGTATGCTAATGACACTGTGATTCTATCAAATAGCATGGAGGAACTGAGTTGCCTAATGAGTAAGATACAAAAAACAAGTCCACAATACGGACTTAGACTAAATATCACAAAAACCAAATGGATGTTGGTAAGCAAAACCCAACAACCACCACAACAACTGATATTAGACAATGAAAGAATTGAACACGTGGATTCGTACATCTACTTGGGAACAACTCTTAACTCAAATTGGGATCAAGCAAAGGAAATACGTATAAGAGTAGAAAAGGCAACAGCATCATTCACTAGCATGAAGCAAATTTTCACCTCTAAAAGCCTCACCAAACCTCTCAAAATTCGACTTCTGAAATGTTATGTATTCCCGGTTTTGTTATATGGAATGGAGGCGTGGACAATGACCGCAACATTGATGAAAAAAGTGTAGAGGCCTTCGAAATGTGGGCTTACCGACGTATATTACGTATATCCTGGACTGAGCACTTGACCAACGAAGAGGTACTACGCCGGATAGGTAAAAATATAGAGGTAGGAATAAGTATAAAGAAAAGAAAGTTGGAATGCTTGGGTCACGTTATGAGACATAAGAAATATAGAGTACTACAGCTGATCGTTCAAGGTAAAATAGACAGCAGAAGGGGTCCAGGGAGGAGAAGACACTCGTGGCTTCAAAACTTGCGGCAATGGTTCGAATTGTCATCTGCTGAACTATTCAGATCTGCCGTAAACAAAGTCAGAATAGCCATGTTGATTGCCAATGTTCGGAATGGACAAGGCACATGAAGAAGAAGATGAAATATATCCCTTAATAAATACCGAAGATCATAAAAATAGCCAGAAATAAACCATCAAATAATCTATTATATGTTGTAGTGCGCGTATTAAACGTTAGTATGAAGAGGTATACGGTTGCAGTTAGACTTTTCTCCCAATTCCATTAGTTAAAGCTGTTATCACATTTTATTATTACTTGGAGTCCTCTTGGCATATTACAAGCTACTATACTTATTTCTTGTATACCTAATAATTATGATTTAAGTTTTCCAAATCTTTTTGCCCTGTAGACCATTTACCAGATATTTTTGGCTTCCATAGACCCCTTGATGGTAAATCTTTAGAAATTTATTCGATGCATTCATGTCCCTTTAAGGAAAAGCTTATTAATTAGGTACATTGAAATGTTGTTCTGAATCTATTTTCTTGTGGAATTTTAAAGTAAATAATATTTTAATGGGAATAAGCCACAATTAATGGTTAAAATAAGTTTATTGACGTTTCAATTTCTACTTCGTAAATCGTTCTCAAAATACAAACATTATTAAATTGAACAACTCTTTTTAAACAAAATTTAGTAGTATTACAGTAACTACCCTTCGGACGACAGTACTGGACGAAGGGAGAAAAATGGGAAAATCCTGGCTTGAAATCAAAGCACTAGCCAGAAATAGAGTTCGCTGGAGACACTTTGTGGAAGCCCTATGTTCCTCTTAGGAATCTTGGGACTATATATCAGTAACTACATATTTAAATTAGTAATTGCCTTTGGGCTTTGCCAGTGCCATTAACCTAGAAAAAAAAGTAAGTAATTAAAATCACCTGCTTCTAGTTTAATAGTCAAAGCATTTTTTCATTTTATTTTAAGAGAGGTTACTTAATTTCAGGTTTTCAGTGATGATGGTCTGGTAGGAGCGAAAATGTTTTGAAAAGTTGTAGTCCGTTTGGATGTGTTCATTATTTTATTATTTTTTAATACATATACCAATTACATTTGAAGTTTGTTACTTTATTGGAAGAGTGAATTATATAAAATTATTTCGACCTCCTTTTCTATTTGTTTATATCCTAAAAAAGTACAAAAATTCTATTCCAAAGGAGAAAAAAACATTTCCAAGCATATATTCCACATTTTAAATTTAAATACTATGTCAGATACTTTTTCAACATTTTGTAAACAAGTTCTCCTTACTGTAGCAAACTTTTAAACGATGTGCTTTTATTTATTCGGCTTATTTACATTAGCCGGTCCCTAAAATTATTAGCAGAATATACGACGAATAAGGCCAAGGGCATAGGGGGCCAAATTATTACATGCAAGAAGATATATTTGGAGCATATGAGAGGTCTCTGTTCTATTTCGGATAATAAAAAAAGCTTATAGTTTTATTTCTGTTGCTCAATCCGTTAAATAATATTATTTGGAAAAATACAAAAAATGACGATTTTCAGGGATCAAAAATACTGTAAAAAAATTATTTTTGAAATCATCAATAGAAAAGAAATATGCTTTATTGTCACTGAAAATGTTACAATTTTATGGACAAAGCTTACAAAAATAAAAATAATAATTTAAAATTTACTGAAATTACATAAATCGTCAATATCATAAAATAAAAGATAATAAAATACAAAGTACATTGCAAAATTTAAATAAATTGCAAATTGCTTAATAAGATCTTACGAACTAATAAGTTTAACTTAGTTATTCGTTAAGAAACTCTTCCACTAAATAATATAGTAATTCGGATAGATAGGCTTTTGTCATTTTACGGAACTTAAGAAAAGAAGTTGCAGATTTAAGTTGCAAAGGGAGATGTTTGTATAATTTTTTGTCGAATGTTATATATATTTCTTTACTAACTCAGTGGACTTGATCGGTAAATACACATCAAAGGCTGAATTTCTGGTGTAATAGTTATGATTAGGTCTTGCTGGAAAAACATGTAGGTATTTACGAATTAAGCAAACCGTTTCTAAAATATATAAAGGGGAAAGAGCTAAACGCCATGATTTTTGAAGTAGCTTTTGCAATGTGATATCCTACTGAGGCCAGAAAGATACGGTATTGCTTTTTTTTGTAATTTAAAAATATCATCAGATTGGGCAGCTGTACTGAAACCCGAAAAAGAAGACCATATCGAAGATGAGACTCAAGCAAAGAAAAATATGTTACTTTGGACGATGCTAAGTTGATTTCTGTCGAAACAGATCTTATTACATAGCAGGCTGAGGCTAGTTATTTTTAAGGTTGCTGTCTATAAAAATGCCAAGAAATTTTACAGAATCAACGGTACTGATCTGGCTATTATTAAGAAGCAGGGGTTGAAGAGCTCCTTTATAGGATAATGCTACTGGTTTATCCACGTTAAAATAGAGTACGCAACCACAAATACTACGGCCACTTGTTATAGAAAATGACCTCATTGAAGCAGTTAACGAAATTGTTTAGCTGGGATCGCTCGTCAATACTGAAAATGACTCTACCGCAGAGATATACCGCAGAATTTGCACGGCTAATAGATCAAGAAATACAAAAGTAAAACTCTACAAAACAATAATACGTCCAGTACTTACCTACCTAAACCTGGACTTAAAAAAAAAACAATGAAAACATGTTAGGATGTTTCGAAACAAAAAATACTAAGGCAAATCTCTCTCTCTCTCTCTCTCACTCTTCAATCCTGACCCCCCAGGAGAGTGTAGTGGTCGACGTGATGTCGTGTATTGTCCGTCTCCAGAGATCTCTGTCTCTGGTCATTTCTTTTAATTCATGCATAGGTCTTTGGCATATTCCTGTAATTTGATCTATCCATCTTGTTGGGGATCTTCCTCGTGATCTTCGGTCTTCTATCTTTCCTTGTATTATGAGTCTTTCCATGTTTTCTGTGTTTGCTCTCATAACATGCCCAAAATATTTTAATTGTTGGAGATGGACTTTACTAGAGAGTCGTTGGCTATCTTTTAGCTCTCTTAAAATTGAATTATTTGTTCTGAGGTCGGTCCAAGGAGTTCGTAACATTCGTCTCCAACAGAACATTTCAGTGGCGTCTATCTTTCTTCTCTCCGATTATCTCAGAGTCCAAGATTCACATCCGTAGGTCAGTATTGGGAATATTAAGCAATTGATCAACCTTATCTTTATCGCTCTTGAAATTTGACAGTCCTTCCATATTTTGGTCATTTTTGCTGTGACAACTTTTGCTAGATCACATTTACGTTTAATCTCTTCTTGTAATGACCCTGTGTTTGTGATTAATGATCCCAGATATAAGTATGAGCTCACAACCTCGAACCGGTCAATTGTGGTTATGTGTGGATGATTGTTGTGTAGTCTACCCACCATCATGATCTTTGTCTTTGATATGTTTAATTGCAGATCAAATATTTGACTTTCGTTTTCGATCAGTCGTATAAGTTCTTTCAGCTCTGCTTGACTATTTGCAAGAAGGGCTGTGTCATCTACGAAACGTAGGTTGTTTAGTTTATGACCATTTATTGAGATGCCCTTTTTCCATCCTTCAAGTGCTCTTCACATAATATACTCCCCATATATGTTGAATAATTGTGGAGATAGTATACATCCTTGTCTGACACCCCGTTCTGGATGAAATTCGTTCGAAAGTGTGTCAAGTACTTTAACTGATCCAGTAGTGTGTTCATATAGTTCGGTTATAAGCGTAATTAGATGTTGTGGTACGCCTACTTCTTTTAGTATTTGCCATAAGTGTCTCCACTTGACCCTGTCGAACGCTTTACGGTAATCTATAAAACAGATGTAAAGTGGGATATTGAATTCCCTAGATTTGACAATGATGGACACAATGAACGCAGATTTTCAGTTCATAAACAAAATAGTTTTTTTTTGATTAAGCAACGTTTCATTTAAACGGAACGGTTAACAAACAGAACTGTAGATATGGGAGCTGAGAAAATCCTCACTGAGTATGTGAGACTCACACGCAATATCCTAAAAAATTAACGATTAGGCTGGTATTATTAACAATAAAATTATTGGTCCTTATTTTTTTAAGGGCGCAGTTGATGATGAGGTTAATCTAGATTTTTTGATTAACTTTTTAGTGCCTACATTACGAAGATTTTTTCCTAATGTTAATCATCCAAATTAGATAGATCGACCTTTTTACTACCAACAAGGTTGAGCTCTACTGTATTTTGCACTTATAATTAGAAATTATTTAAACGAGGTTTTTCCCAATAGGTGGATTTGAAGACGTTGAACAATCGAATGGCCGGCTAGATCCCCCGATTTGACTCCTCTCGATTACTTCTTATGGGGTTATTTAAAATATAAAGTATAATTTACTAGACCAAACAGTATTGCTGATTGAAAAGTTAGGATAACGGACGAAATTAACAAAATAACTCCCGGAGTCGTACAAAATGTTGTACGAGAATTCCAAAATCGCCTCGGGTATTGTCAAAAAGTGAATAGCGGTCATTTTGAATATATAATTTAACTGTAAAGTACATTGAAAAATACATTCTAAATATTATGTGACATTATCTTCATTCAACCTAAAGTTTTGTGGTAAAGACATTATCAAAGTTTTACATTTTAAAAATCATTTTCTAGGTTATTATTGCACCAAACTTAAAAAACTTAATATTACTGAACAGAGGACTAAAATCTCTTTCTAACAAGGTGCTACACGACCCCCTTTGCTATTTAAAATTTTCGAGGGGGTGCTTAGAATTCAAAGGGGTGCTGGAGGGGGATATTATTTTCATACTGTAAATTGTCAATTTAAGAATAAAAATCGACCTGTTTCAGGTTTTTTTCACATAGTACTTAATAACGCTAAAAATGAATTTATTCCATACATATGGACCGCATGGTATAATTAGAATGTATTCGTTTTTGATATTTCTTAATTATAATAAAGTCAAAACTGTTGGGGTACATTTGAACCCCACTCGGTATTTAATGTAAGTTTTTGACCACGGCTTTATGAAGGTTAAACTCTCTAAACATAGTAGAATTGGAAAACAAATCAATGAAACGAGGAATTTGGAGAAAAATAGTTGGGGAAGCGTTAGAAAAACTGTGAATATAATGTGTGGAAGTTAAATGATTGTAAATAGTATTTAATTATTTACAAGATATATTTTAATATTCAATAATATAATTTTGTAATATTTATAAAATGGATATTGTAGTTTTAGGCTTATAAGACCTTCAGAGCTTTATAAACAAAAATACTCACCTTCCTCTTCCAATACAGCCTGTAGGGTATCGGAAAACTCTGCGGAAAATCTATCTCACAATTAAACACCACCGAATCACCCACTGCAGCTGTCAAATACCTCGGCCTGGTGTTATCTTCGAAATAGTAACACTCTGTCAAAACGACAACAAAAACCACGACAACGGAAACAACTGCACCATACATTTTCTACACTCTGACCACCTCCGTCGATTTGTTGTTTTAAAGACCAAAGGCACTTAAAGCGTGTGCTGCTTACGCGACTACAAAATGGGCTAGATTAGTCAAATCAAATCTAATGGCTGGCGATGCTATGCGGGAATTAGCGGCCAACCTAGTTCGTACTTACGTAGGGTTATTCAAGCCATCGAGAAGAAAGGAATGAAAGGAAAGAATGGGTTATTTCCGGTGGGCGATTAACGATTTTATTGAATGGTATTGATTGAGATGATGGTTACTTGTTTAGTTGGAATATTCGCGGTAAATGAAATAATATCAATCTACCAAGGTCGGTGTCTTTGATACTTCGGTTGCGGCGAAGGATCTAGAGGTCACACATGATACATAATACAATTTATCAGTGATATATAAAAGTTTGTTTACCAAACAACTGTATTTTTATCGTTTCGAAGTTAAAATAAACAAGGGAACTAAAATAAATTTATAAAAGCACATATTAAAAGCCGTTCTATATTTCAAATAATTGGTACCAAAGACTTGCCGTTTGCGATAAAAATCCAATAATAACTATGACGGTTTCTGTATAGATAAGTATAGTTATTACTACTAACAATAAAAAGACATAAACAGCTGAAGGGTCCAGGGGAAGAACGGCAATAGTCCATTTGGATTTATTTCGAGAAAATTGAAAATTAAGATTTATACTTATTATAAAGTCAAATATAAAGAAAAATAATCAAAAATAATATTTTTAGGTAAATATTATATTTTTTTATTAAAAAACGTTAAAAATAACCTTATTATAAAAATAAATGAGGTAGAAAAAAAAATATAATACAGACAGATGCGTGCCACTTTTCTTCTATATTAGACGTCTATTGGTGGATCGTCCACAAATTCGTCATCGCTTTCTCCAGATTGTTCGACAACAACTACTGTTAATTGTTGATAAAACAACCTGGATTCTGGTTTCTCGAGGAATGCAGTTAGATGTTGCAGATCTTTCCATTTGGATTTTTTAATAGGAATTGCGCCTTGATAAAGTTTTCGTAATGTTCCTACTTCTTTTTCATTGTGATTATTTTGTGCCCTTTTGCGGCACGCCTTAATCGGTTTATTTTCGAATTTAGAATTATAATATAAACCCATATACGTAGATTTATGGAAAATTAACCGGTTATCCTTGCTGCAAAATTTAAGCATTCTGATTGGCCGAGTTGGGAAAGGGCACTTCGTTGGATATAGCGGCGATAAAAATAAAGTCCAATTTTGAAAATCAAAATTTTTACTGCAATCAATCACTTCAAATGGTGTAGGTTTCAAACGGCAATTTCTCAAATCGTCTCTTCAGTCCTCTGGTACCTCAGTGTATGCTTTCTTATTGACAAGGCTCATGTTTCCATCGCATTTAAGATATGAATGCCCTCTAATAGGGAATATTACTTTCACAATATCAAAACGATTTTTTCTTATAACTAAGTAATGCAAGAATAGAATATTAGTAAAATTTTTATTTTGTCCTGCACAGGAATCACAAAAAATAGCTAGTTCTTTTACTTCCATGGGCAGAATATTATAAAAAAAGTGATTCCGCATGGAACAAACATCGTCAGCTCCTTTCTTAGCAACAGATTCATCGTAGGTATAAAATATAGATTTTGAATCCGACAGAATATGAATGTTGAAACGGATGAAGTTTAGTTGACGTTTATAGTATACGTCGTTGGTTGTAATATTTGGACATTGTAAGTTTTTTTGATAATCCATGCTTATACCTTCCATAGTCGAGGACTTTGAAGCACGTTTGCGGTAACTTCTTTTTAGACTATAAAATCGCTCACTTTTTTTTTTAGATGTAGATTCCTTTCATGTGTCTTTTTTTTTCTATATCATTACTTGCTGTTTTCCTAGTTTCAAGGTCCGAAGTAGAATTTAATAATGTAGTTATCGATGATATGTCGGCTTTTAAGGAGTCACAAGTGCTACAAGTGTCTTTTCGTGGATATCCGAACGATATATTAGGAACTCCATCACCTTTTGCTTTGTGACTTCAGAAAGTTTGTGACGTCGCGAATTATGTTTTCCTCGCATATCGATAGGTGCTTTCCCATTAAAAAGCAGGGAGTCTCTAACTTATCTAACTCGACGTCCCGTGATTCCATGGAAAGATAAAAAAGCTTTGATACATACTGAAACATCACGAGTAATTCCATCCTCAACTATTCGAACACGATTACTAAAGGAAGCACTATTAAGTCTAAATTCTTCAGCGGTTTTTCTAGAAAACTCTTTTTTTTTAATCTTTGTCTTTCCTCCTCAGCGTGTGACTTACGTGAGGAGGCTTATGATCTGAATGTTACGTAAGGTGTCTTGGGTAATGAGACACCTTCTGTTTTTAATGACTGTGGTTAGGCCACCTAACTGTAGGGGTAGCACACATGTCGGCTTTTCTCCCTATTTAACTTTACTGATTCTATAGAAGTTACTCTAGCTTTACTTCGGGACTCATGTCCCTAAAAAAAAAGCGTGTGTTCCAGACAGAGAGCCATCGGTCTAGACCGACAGCTCTATGTCTGGAAAAGAATATGTGTGCTTGTTCACTCAGTCGCCGATTTGACAAAATAAAAATTTTGTTTTCCTCGCCGGCTGGGTGTTCGAGAAGTGAGTCCTGGCCACCGAGCCCATGCTTGCCGCACATGACCTCGATGCTCAGAGTCCGAGTTTGATCAATATTTGATCTGCCTGAAGGGCCTATGCCTGCTGGCTGGTATAGAGTGCCTGACGGGCCTTTTATACATTCGTATTTGTGTTATGTAAATTTTTGTGATGTAACGGGTGTTCTTGTTTATCTTGAAGATGACATGACATTAATTAGACAGTGAGCGATTTTTGTTTTTTAAAACTAAGTCTATCTATGCTAATACCTTAACTATGGAGTGTGCATTCTCAAGTGTATAACGCTCTCACACACTCCGTGTATATGTTTTTTGTGTTTTTTGTTTTCCATATTCTAATCTAAACCTAATCTAACCTAAGTGTGCGTGTGGTGGGGTGTGCATTCCCGGGTGTATAGTGCCTGCACACACCCCGGTGTATATTGTTCTTATATACTATATTTTTTTGGTGCTCACTGTCTAATATACTCTGTAGTAGTCGGCTCTGTGTCTATCTCTTTCTTCATTTATCCTTCTTCTCTATATCCAATAATTTGTTGCTTTGGCCGTTTATGTACCGTTCTAGTGTTTATGTCGTAGTTTGTCAACTCTCTTAATGTCCTGCTTGGATGATTTACGAGACCATTGAAAATGGTCTTTGCTCTTTCGTCCATTGTCCTTAGGATTCTTTTCTGTCCAGAGTCCCTGAATAAATACCTCAGTGGAACGTATTGAGGTAAGTTCAGTGCTTCTCTGATTATCCAGTTTTGTGTTGTTTGGATTTTCTTCCTATTCGTTTTACATGTGTGTCCCCATGCGGCAGATGCATATTATTGACGAATATTCACTGAAATCTATGTTAATGTTCGAATACATATTATGTCCTTATCTGTAAAAAAGATAATTCTTAAAACAATTGACATTCTAACACAAAGACGATTTTATTTAAAGGTTCTATTTAAAATTTATAATAATATTAAAGTATGATGTTGTTTTAAAAAGACAAGTCTCCCTAGATCGCTCTGTATCTTAGACCAACTTAATTATTAATTACCTCACAGCATTCCTGTAGCACAAGAGGTTAATTATGAGGTTGCTAAGTGATATTGTGCCTATTAATTACCAAATTAAGGCGCTAAGCAGGTATTACGAATTATGACAAATGCAAATATAAAAATAACTATTTTTAACTTACCAGTGTACAAAAATTGGGGCAATCAAATTTCCAATGGTTGTTAAGATGAATGAAACTTTTTAAGTGAATGAATATTTAAGAATGCATGATACGCATTACCCCGCCGATCTTCGGATTTTTTTTCTGCATCTATCGCAAACTCAATTTATATTTTTCCTTTTTATTTCGACTGTGATTTATCTTATTTTAGTAGACGATAAATTTTGCACTACAAGCTCCTCGGTAGAAAATAGAAAATATTCGGTCAAAAATACTGAGAGAAGGAGTTATTAACAAGAAATACTAGATTTTACAAATACTGTTCTTAAAGAAAAAAACAAAAATTTGGAGAATAACTCATTTGTCATTTATATAGGGTCAGTCCGGGAGAGATGGCTCGTCGGGTATGATCATGATATTACAAATGAAGATAGTATCATGGATGTAATGACAGTCAAATATCACAATTTTATCCTATTTGGCGCCAGTTACATTGCCATTGAATTATATAACATATGCCTTTCAAACGAGGTTACACCATCTCAGTAGAATAAAGCTGTTATAGTAGTCATGCACAAAAAGGGAGATATAACAGAGCTAAAGAACTATAGACCTATTAGCTTGTTATCTCACGTTTATAAGTTGTTTATGAAGATAATAACTAATAGGTTGACATCAAAACTAGACTTCTATCAACCTTGCGAGCAAGCAGGATTTAGAGCTGGATACGGAACAAATGATCATTTGCAAACCATTAAGTCGTTGATTGAAAAAACCATTGAATATAATAGACCCCTGATACTTGTCTTTGTCGATTTTGAAAAAGCATTTGATACGGTCAATCAAAGTGAAATGCTCCAAGCTCTAACACAATGTAGAATAGATCACCGATACATATCTCTCATCAGATACATCTATCAACATGCTACAGCCTGTGTAAGACTTAATGATGATACTGGGACTTTTCGTATTGAAAGAGGCGTTCGGCAAGGAGACAACATGTCTCCTAAATTATTTACAACTTTGCTAGAATACGCTTGTAAAACAATAGATTGGAACGAAAAGGGCATCAATGTAGATGGAAAATTTTTAAATAACCTTAAATTTGCAGATGATATCGTTCTTATTGCAGACAGCTTTGATCAGGCACAGATAATGCTCCAAGAACTCCATACTGCCACAAAAAGAGTTGGTCTTAAGATAAATATTTCAAAAACACAATTTAACTATGACAAATTTAGTCCACAACAAAAACATCTCAGTAGAAGACAAAGATATTGAGCCAGTTGACTCCTATAAATACTTAGGCCATGAGATCAGAATAAGTCGAGACAACCAAACAATCGAACTGAAAAGAAGAATAAACCTCGCTTGGGCTGCATTTGGAAGGATGAAGGATATTTTTTAGGTCTAAGATTCCAATGTGTCTGAAAAGAAAAGTGTTTAATCAATGTATTTTGCCAGTGATGACCTACGGCGCAGAAACCCTAACGCTCACAAGAACAACAGTGAGTA